ATAAATAGCTTTCATTTCACATTACCAATCCGACTCTAAAAATATCATTTAATATCCGTCATTTATTAAATGAAAAGAATATCGCCTACTATCAAGAAATTGACTTAAATTATCAATAATTAAGCAAAGAATGGAGAGTTCGATTAAGAAGAAATTTTCAAAAAATATCTTAAAAATATCGAAACATAACCGAAATCAACTGCGAAAAAACTTTAAGTGTAAAGCTATAAGTTTTAAAAATCCCATCAATTCACACTTTTATTTACTTAAACAACTTAAATATTAGAAACAAATTGTGTACAATATCATCAAATTATTATAATAATATTGTATTTTAGTATAATCTTCTTCGATTATCACTTTGTAAAATACAAACTACGAAAATGATTAAAATTAAATTAATATTAAATTTTAATAAATTTAAAATGTTATAAGAAAATAAAAGCTGTTGAATTATCAATGGAACTTATACTTTTCTTTTTTCTGAAAATTACTAATAAAACTCGTTCCACTGGTCGTTTCAAGCCAAAATAAATCTCTTTTTGCTTAAAGAGATTTTTGTTTTGGTAATTTTGTAACAGAAATCGCTAAATCGTAGGCGAATCGCTAAATCTCTATATTATTTTCGCAAATTCCTTTCAATTCTCTAAAAATCATCAAAAATATTTCTTTTTTTAGCAATAGAAAAAACTGTTTACTTATAAAATATTGTAAAATATAAATTATTTAAAATGGATGAACTTATAAAATATTGTAAAATCATATAAATTATTTAAAATGAATAAAATGCAATCTCATCAATCATTTGTAAAATGACCATTCATATGATTGACCACTCTTATTTGTGGTTTTTTCCCCTTCATAAAACATATGTTCACAAAATAATTAATTACTTAATATAAATTCAATAAAAAGTTCAAAATTAATGCTTAAAATTCATTATTTCTAGTTTGGCTATTGGTACAACGAGGAATTTTTGCCTAGGAGGTGATTAACGATAGATATATGAGGTAAATTACCAGCAATATCCGGAATTTTCTACTGATGCCTTTCATTCCTGCTGGACGCAGAAACTGAACTCTGAGATCTAACTCTGAGATTTGAGTGAAAATCATTCAAGAACGTTCATTTCATCAATATATTATAATAATGTCAACATAGCCAATTTATAAAAAAATTTCATTAATTTCAGGTTCATTTAAAAAGGTTTATGGTTATTTGTTGAGCTAATGAAAAGCATAAAAAAAATTATAATTTACATGTATTATGTAGAAATATGCTGCGAAAATGCTGAATTAATTCGAATTAATTCACAACAACTAAACACAACTTTAAAACAAATCCAGCTTTATGCTTGAAAAAAAGTTGCTTTCTATCTGACATGAGCACCTTCATTCATATTAACTATTTTTTTAAATGAATCGAAAATTGACCGGAAATAAATCTTATCATAGAAAAAATAGTAATTCATCACATAAATGAGCAGCTGTTTAAGTGATCAGTCTTCAGGAAAACTTTAAAATTTTCGCGGATTTAACTGCAAAAAAATATTTTAATGGGATTTAACAATTCATCCAAATTGCAGCATTTCAATATAATTATCTATTTTCGTATAATAATGTTTCTAATAAAATTTTACAATAATAATTGATCGTTCATAGAGAAAATCAAGAATTAACACCTATTTGAAAAAGAACTTCTTTTGGACTTATTGAAATCTATGAAATCTGAATTTTTTATAGAATGATAATTTGAAATGATAAATAATTAATTTGATCTATTTCTTTTCTTCTTGAGATCATTGAAGTGCTCTTTATTTTCCTCTGAATTTTAAATTTTTTCCGCATGAATTGCTTCTGATTTCGTTATATTTCGTTATTTTCATTGATTATTAGGAACACTAGAATTCTTCACCTTGAGATTTGGTAATAATAATAGAAGTGAACATTTTAAATCGAAGCAAACCGGCTATTTAATAAAATTCTGTTCATATTATTTCAGATTTATTTATGAAATCTATGAAACTAAAATAAAATAAAACTAAAAATCTTATAAAAATAAAATTAATTTTTGAGAATTTTTTAATATAACTAATTAATATAACTAATTTAATATAACTATAAGTTATTAAATTAAAAATCAATTTTAAAATTCAAATTTGCATTTAAAAAAAGATTTGAAGATTTAAAAAGAAAAGATTTTTGATTTTTAATCTAAATAATAGACATATTTATGTAATAATATAAACGAAATCAAAGATCTCTCTCCACCCGCACTTAATTTATTGACGTTCGTTGTTAAACTTTATGTTTTTAATTCCATAAGATTTTAATTAAATTCGTCAAATTTTATATTTTTTCTTCAGCTGAAAAATTTCATCCAAAATAATTCATTTGAAATTTTTTTCCAAGAAAAATTCACATATTCACGTGAAATTCAGTGAAAATTTTCGAACTGCAATTTGTTAAGAATTTTCGAACTTTTTTTTATCCACATTTTTCAACCTGATTTAATTTTATATTAGCATAAGACTAATTAAATAAACCTACAACTAAATCCTACTGAATCAAAATTAAATTGGAAAAATTATCAAATTCGAAAAAAAATCAGAAAAAAATAAATATATTTAAATTTATTTATTAAAAATTTAAATTTTTAGTTTTTACGAACGAAATTAAAAAGCAAAGGATAACAGCAAAAAATGTTTTTCGTTTTAAGTAAGAATCTTACAAAGCCTCATCGATAAAAAAACAGACCAATATCAATTTCTACTCTCTCATCGCTAATTTTGTTTACTAATAAAATTAAAAATTACCTGGTAAAATACCTCGTTGTATAAGATATGCTTGAGCGGGTCGAGATGCTAACTTGTGTTGAAGAGCTGAAAATGAATTATTATTTAGACAAAACAAAAAAAAAAAAAACAAACAGTTCACGTCAACTGTTCATCAATCCACAACAAATGCTTCTCATCTTTCCGATTCGAGTTTAAATCAAAAAATTTGCGTCAAAAAATCCCTCAAAGATTCACATTCATTCATATCTATTAACCATTTGAAAATAAAACCTATAATCTCTCAAAATTAAACCATTTTTTCTCCTAACAGCACTTATCATTTCTGGTTTAGCTGGTTTCACTGGTTGTTAGGATAACATTCCTGCGGTAAAGATCCACTTATGTATAGAGATGCATGTTACAGAGTCCCATGAGAAACACATATCTTTCATTTTAATGATAACTTTATCTCTTTGCTCCATTAATCACTAAGGGTCTCTAATTATATATATATATATATATATATATATTTGTTTATATCTATGAATTGCAAAAATTGAGAATTGAAAATTATGACGTGAGAACCTATTTTGAGAAAACCTGAACTCAAATCTTTTGAATCCTTCCTTGACCAGAATATCCATATGCGAATACTCAGCTGACTGGAAATTCAAAGACAAAACGTACCGATTATTCTCTTTCACTAATTCCCCGTCATCTCCTAATTTAACTTTTGTAAGTTAAGACTCAATCCAGACTCTGACAATTTTGATTTAAATAATTATAATGCATAATTACGATATAATTCATTACTCGAAAAAACTTTAGCTGAAAGTTGTTAATTTTAAAATTCAATTTTTGTAGAAAAATTTTTTGATTTTCAAGTTATGCAGATGTTCGATGAAGATTTACAAAAAATAAAAAAAGGATTCGAAGAAGATAATCATTCGCTTTTTTTACAGAGCATAACTCTTCTCGCTCCTCTGGTTTGTCGGACGAGACAAATATGCCAGGGATTCCCTCGGCGATAGAAATACAGATGAGTCGCCAGCATAACCCGAATCGCTCGCTTGGAGAGATCTTGGAGAGATGAAAGATCTTTCTTATCGCCAAACATTGATAAGATTAAATTAACAATCTCTTCTTCTTTTTTCTTCTAACAGTTCTCACCATTACTGGTTAGGCTGGCTCCAACGGCTACAAGGGTAAGACGCTTCCAAGCGGCGCGATCTGATGCCATCGTCGACAGTAATGGAAGCCATTCCTTTTTCCATCGTCTAAGTCCATATATTGCTGGTCCACCTATACGTTCAAAATCTTTTCTCACCGTATCAATTCAGATCTTGATTGGCCCACCTCGCTTTTGACGCCAACCATCACATGGTTTAGCAAATAACGAAATATGCGTCAACTCCTGTGGTGGACGAAATTAAATTAACAATCTCAAGAAATTTAAAACATTTCAGTGCTTATTTACGATGGATAAATTCATTTATTTTGTCTATTTAAATTGTAATTCACAATTGTACTGAAATTCTAATTTTAGCTATAAATATTAGTATTTCAAGTTTTCTAAGCATCAATGCTTTCCGAAATAATACATTACGTACGAGTATATTGGCTTTACGCGTCTTGCCTCCCTATAGTTTCTATCATATAATAATTATTCTAATTATTATATATTACAACTATAAAGAAAAAATTAAAAGAAAAATAGGATGAAAAAGTAAAGTTAATGCAATTAGAATAAGAATTTTTGAGATTTTCCGATAGCAGAAATGAAATACCAGATCCACAGCGATTTTTTCAAACAGAGACTTTTACAAAAGCCTTTAATATTAAAATACTGTCTGGTAGGCAAATGAACGATTAACACTGAGCTTAAGTTTGACGCAACAACAAAAGTTTTTTATCTTCGCCAAACCTATATAAATCATTCGTAAAACAGAAAATGACAAACAACTGTTGACGGAAATTGAAACTAAGAATTTCCCGAAAATCAAAAAATATGGATTTTGATCGATCGTAATCCTATCAAAAAATTCAAAGAGAAATTTCACTAAGACTAGTTTTAAATGCACCACCGTTAAAATGAAATCCATTATAGTAAAATTAATTAAATCGTCTGAGTAATTAAATTATTTTAGCTAAATTAATTTCGATTTTGCAATAAGTAAATAAAATAAAAATTAAAATTTTAGTATATTTAATCAGTTGATTGTGGTCAGTCAATTCTACTTTCATCATGGATTTCATCAACTACTCGCATGAACAAATTTTCTTGATATTTCTCAATTTCAAATTTATCTATTAAGAGGAGTATAACCTAAAATTTTAACCTAAAGGGAAAAAAAGCATTTAAAAGAAATTTTTGCCATTTAATTGTTAAATTTACAGTTATTAAAAATTCTTGTAATTCTTTCGTAATGCGAAAACCACGTGAACAATGTCCTTAAAATAAATCAACTTAAAATAAAAACCAACCTTCACGATTGGTACTCATATTCGTTTGCAAGCTTTGAGTATCGATAATAATCGTTTTTGGAATGATCTGAGTGGGAATGGTAATTGTTGGTCGAGAATTAACTGGAACAAGTAATAAAGGAATGTTTTCTGGAATGCCTGCAGGAGGCTTCGGCTCGATCCATCTGCACGATTTTGCCATGATAAGATCGCTAATAACATATAACAATGTATTTCATAGTAAATCATTTATATGGATCGAACCAATCATCTGAAAAATTCTTATAAATTGCGAGAAATTTTTCAAAAGAATACATGCGAGCATATATATCAAAACAATTTGAACAATTCGCAGATTATTGTATCGAAAGAAACCCTAAAATAAAAAAAGTTCGTACAAGAAAAATATGGGAATTGAGAAATTAAAGGCATATTTTCATCTTTGCAACGTGAAGCAATTGAATTAATTTCCAATATAGTTGCGAAAAAAATCCGAATTATGAAGCAAAATAATTTTTGCGGCCGAAAAAAATTTTCGAAAACTTAAAAGTCGATTTCACTAGAATTTATTAGAGGTCCAATTAAACAATTTTGTTCAGTAAAAAAAAATGTTAGTGTCCTTCAGCTTAAAAACGAAAAAAATTTTAATCAAATGAAAAATAATACAAAAATTATACTGACATTAAATGATTTTCGTGATTTTCAAAATACGACTTTTGAAAAGCAATAACCTTTTAAAACACAACTCACAAAAAAAAACAACTTCCATTCCACTCGATTTTCCACTCGAAATTAGTTTGTACTATTTTTATCATTTCCTTGATAAATTAATGCAATTAAAATTGTAATTATAATTTTATAAATTTATTAATTTATCGAGGTTAATGTCGAGTTACATTATTGCAAACTTTTGTTTAAAAAAAGTAATTGCCCTTATATTATTTTATAAACGAAAAAAAATAAAAAAATAAAAGGAAAAAAAAACAACAAAAAAAACAAGAAAAGTTATGAAATCCTTCATGACAATATGAAATGCAAAAAAAGAAATTTCTATGTCTTACGCTAATTTGATCCACGATATGACACGTTTCCTGACGAGGAAATAATAAATCAAACAAAAATGTTAGTGAATGATAAAAGTGAAGGTTTATATGGCATAGATGTTGGTGTTAGATAAGATTACTGCAAAGCAAACTAGAAAAGCGAGAAAATACGACGATAGAAAAAAATGCGAAAAAAAATCATACCGCATGCATATATTTATATATATATTTATATTTATAAATATATAAATAAATAAATATATAAATATATATAAATGATTAAAAGCCATGTCAGATGTCACCTATGAACAATTTACTAACTGCTAAATATAACTAATATAACTAATTAGCTGTCAAGCATATATGAACAATAAGGGGCATTCCATTAAAAGGAAAAAGAGAGAATAAGAATGAGAATAGGGGATGAAGTTGGATCTTCATCGTTTCATTTTTAACTAGAAATCTTTAATTTTTATTTATGAGCAAGTAAAATGAATCATAAAATAGTACTTATGGTACTAAACTTAATGGTACTAATGGTACTAATTACAATTGAAATCCACTCAAAACAATATTCATTCGACCATTTTTTCCTGGACCAATTATAAATCTAATAATAATGCGAAACGATGTAGGAAAAAGATTAAATGCGAGAAAGAATAGTGAAATAGTGAAAAGAAAAGGAAAGAATAGAGGAAACGAGTAGGAAAATCTTTAAAATTTCCAGCTTTACCATGCTAAATGATTAGCGTTTTTAATTTTCCATCAAAAACTGTTAATTTTTACGATGAATTATCAGAAAATAATTCGGTTTTCCGTTGATAATTGAAAGTAATAAAAAGAAATTCTTCGTCAGTTTCGAAATCAGAAAAGAATTCGACGATAAAAAATTCGCAATTTTTCAATTTTTGCCCATTAAAAAATTGATTAAAATCGATACAAAAATAAATCTTTTTTTTTTAAGGAAATTTTTGTTTCTTATTTGTTTTTCTTTCAAAAATAAAATCCGATAAAATGAAAATTTCATTGAAATAAAAATTTTTTATATAGAAAAAGAATCAAATAATAAAAACAATAAAAAAATAACATTTTCATAATAACATTTTTTTTGGAAAATTTCCTAAAAATAAAAAAATTATTTTAAAAAAATTGGAAAAAATAAAAAAGAGAAAAAATAAGTTTATTCCAAAAAATGAGTTTTTCCTTTATTTCGTCAAAAAATATCAAATATCAATGAAGCCAAGATCAATTCATTTCTATCGGATGATTCCAATCCTTTACAGTTCAATAATTCAACAATGAAAACCAATTCTGGGAAAAATATTTAAATCGAAAAATACCGACGACTAACAATCGTCTCGAGACGCAATTATATTTTGTTTCTTTAATAGCTTAATTCCTTAATTTAATAGTTTTCGTGCTTCCATAAATAAAACCACAAAATGCCTCTATTGCGAAGTTTCATCGAATTTTCGCAAGATGTAAAAAACGTTTTTCTCTCGATTTTACTCCTATTCATCAGATTTCATTCGATACATTGCGAGATCATTGTGCATCGGAAAGGAAAATTGGCAGGAAGTTCGAATATATGTAAGGAGCAAAAACGGCGAAAAACGGCGAAAAACAGCGAAAAATTCTTCAGGGAAAGAATACTCGATTAAAATTATTCCGATAAAAGGAGAATTCATTCTTGATTTTTCATAAATAATAATTTTCTATATAATTATACGGGACAGTATTATGAAATTATAAATGCTACATTATTGTGCATTAAAATTTTTCATAAAAAAAGCTCGAATTTTAACTAAAGAATACAATTATTTTATTTGCAGCAAGGAGGATTTGCAGCAAAGCAAACTATAAGACGAATGCGATTTTGAGTGTTTAGGCAGACCAGCGATATATAAAATTAGACGATGGAAAAAGAAACGAATATTTTAGCGATGGCGCCGAGCCCAATAGCTTAGAAACATCGAACCCTTATGGACAGCGGAGCCCGCCTAACCAGCAATGATGAGAGCTAATGGATTTCGCACGAATAACTTTCAATAACTTAAATTTAAAAGTTTATTTTCTTCCATAAATTATTAAGCCTAAGAATTTTAATCGGACTTTTCTCAGCACTTTTTTGGCTGTTTCGTATAGCATCCGAGCGAGTGGTTGTTTTTCTTGTTTTCCACATTATATGTTATTTCGTTATTTTTATATATTTTGTTAATATTCTTTTTTTTATAAGGTTTATTTAACAGAATTCTCCAAGGAATCCGTACTTGCTACCAGAATCTTAATGGAATTCGTAATTTTAATCCGACGATATCGATCATTTTTATTCTAAATATTCTTTATTCTAAAAGTGCTTTTTATTTCTGTCCACTGGCTTGTGAGACCAGAAATTTTATCAGGGAATATAGCGATGGAAGTGTGGGTGTTCGTCAGCATCATTTGAATTCTTGAAGAGAGGTTTGCCCATGCCGGAAAGTATGCCACAACATCGATCGGCACTTCGATATGAGAAGAATCCATTGAGCCATTCCATCCTATTCGTAATTTGCATTTATGAAAAATTTCTTCGCTGCAAAGCTTTCGCAATAAAAGGCAAAGCTTATCATTATAAATAACTAACCAAATACGGTAATTTTTTTAACGGCAATTAAATTGATAATCAAAATATGGATTAAATCGCTCTATTTATTTATAGTGTATTTATGTTCAAATATATCCAAACTTATGAACTGAATTACAGAATTACAGAATTCAAGAATTTATTAAATGCATCTTAAATAAAAGTCGCCGTCGGAAGTGTTCCGCATTAGATAGTTGTTCCTGTCACCGCGCTGGAACGGACCATCTTCATGGATCTGACTATCTTATAGCTCGAGCCAAGATCCGCATAAAATTGGCACCTAGCAAAAAATAGCATCCTCCAAGATCCTTCAACTATCTCGAACTAAAAAATTTGGAGCGTATTTCAAACCGAATTATTGAAGCATCTCAATCTTAATGGTATAAATATATCGATGACTTTTCTAGAACGGCAAGTTAATACTGTCCAAACTAAAGGAATGTAACCGAAAGTCAATCACTTCCACGCTAGAGCATACTAGTAGGATATGCGTTAGTTGGGTATCGGAAGTAACTATCCAACTATTTGAAAAATTCAGGTGATCCTGAGTACTGGATACTTTAAAGATTTGTACAAAAGAAGCAAGACGTGACAAAAATCATTATTGGAGTGATATGGCTTGAGAATAAAGACAGCGGCTCGATTAGATAATAGGAAACTATTCCGCCTTCTTCATGAAGCAACTATAACTCGGAGACTGATCAGTGAAATGGTAAGGGATAACAATGGCGTACCGGTAAAGAATATTAAGGGTTGCCTTATCAGATGGAAAAAGTTCCTTGAGGCCAAACTCAACCCTGAAGCACCATCTGTTGCCCTGATATAGCTGGCACGTTCGCCGAACCATACTCTTGCAATTATGAGCCGTCATTGTCCTTAAGGTTAGGGCCAATAAGATTCCGGGAAAAAACGAACTCTTCAAATGTTGTCTATCGTCCATAATGTACCTTCAACACATGTACTTTCTATGTGGAAAAAAGAAATATTATCAGATGATTGGAGCAAAGAATTCTGCTCGCAATTCTCAAGAAAGATGATAGGGCATACTGCGACAATTATCGAGGGATCAGCCTACTAGACGTCTCAGCGAAAATTTTTGCTTCCCTTTTACTCAACAGACTTATGGAAATACGAGATAGCAGGATGCGTCCTAATCGAGCTGGATTCAGATCGAGGCGTCTATTTTATAACTCTATGTATGAAATAGAGCATCCACTATCTTATTTATCGATAATTCATCGATAATTCGTAGATCTTAGAAAGCTTAATACTGGCCGACAATGGTGATTATTGTTTCTTGGTTAATAATTTTCAGTGGTAATATATATATAGCAGATTTGCAATCTAAATACATTTTTTGCAATTTTTGTTTTTTTTTCAGCATTTATTAGTTCCTTCAAAGAGCTTCATTAATTGCTAAGATGCTTTCGATAAAGTGTTCCTAGATGCAGAGTTAGGTACGTTCTTAGCGATTGTAAAATCTCACATCGTTTCAATGTATTTAGTTATTTATTTGAAAACAACCAAACAGGGCGA